AAGAGCTAAGGGCACTGCATCTAAGAATGCTAAAGATTAGATGGAACAAAAATATTTTACAGTATAATTGAGGTCAAGGGTTTTCCCTAAGCAATAAAAAGTCAACTCTTATCAGCTAGAGAAGAATGGAGCATAATTCCTACCTGCCATATTACAAATTACATATTACATATTACAAATATAAGAAATTTTATATATGAATTCTAAGTTATTTAAATTTTTATTAAGCAAAATTTGAAACATATGCAAGAACCTCAATTTTATATTGAAAAATCATCAGAATTTAAAATCACTTCGTAATATTGTTTTCTGTCCACTGCCCCCTAGTTTTTTGGGGGAGAGGGAGAGGAAGGAATTCCCAGACATCATATTTTAGCCAAAAACTCTTCAGCATTTATCTATAATAGATATAATTTTTTAATCTGATGGAATATCATGAAACCCATAAAATCAATAACGGCTCCTTAATATCCTCTAGTAACCTAGTATATGTTGCGATCTCCCCAGCTGTCTCAAAATTGTCCTTTTATAGTTAACTTATTTGAATCAGGAGTGAACTAAAGTTCACATATGGTCTTTTGTTTATATATATCTTAAATCTCTTTAAATCTCTAATAGTTCTGATTGATATGCCACTTATTAATATTTGCTGAAAATTACCATTTTTAAAGAATAAAAATAAATACTAAATCAACTGACATAATTATATCCTTTTTCTCCTTCTCCATTAACCCCTTTTTTGGAATAGGATGCATTTTAGAAGCTCCCAGTGTCTTCAATTCATCATTCTGAGTAAACTATTACTATATTTTAGACCACATACAACAATAAAATCTTGGTTGAAAAGAGTTTCTTTTAAATTTGTTCTGTGCTTATCTACTGAAATTTTCTCTTTTATTACTAAATGTGTTGAAATTTGAATTGTTTTCACTAAAAGATAATACAAATTAATTATTTGCATATCCAGTCTTTAAACTCTACTTACTAAATTTTACTTATAAAAGTATTGATTTTTTTAAGAAATATATTTTTAGATGTTTATGTCACCCGCATAAACACTGCTGAGTGTTTTTTTTTTTTTTTTTTAAGGCTTGTCTCACTTTTCTTCTGTCAAGGATTTAATTTCCGCATGCCTGTTGTTTTTTGTCTTTTTTCAGTTGCTGAGTGTTTTTTTTTTTTTTTTTTTTAGTAGATATGGGGACTCACTAAGTTTCTCACTAAGGCTGGTCTTAAACTCCTGAGCTCCTGGGATCTGCCTGCTTCAGCCTCCCAAAGTTGCGGGATTGCAGACCTGAGCCATCATGCCTGGCCTGCTCTGTTAAAATAAAAATTTAAATGCTATTCCCTATTTTTTTACTCTCCTTTTAAAGTGTTCCTTTTTTTTTAAATGTCATATAAGTAATACATATTCATGGTAAAAAGATTTTTTTTTTAAAAAAAAAAAGCAAAAAAAATCAAAATCATCCTAATTATCACCATTTGTAGATAATCACTACATTTTGACACATATAATTCTAGAGTTTTACCTATATAAATGATACACTTATTACCATCTGTAGGCACCATGTTAAGCATTTTATATTATCTTTGCTTTTCTTTCTCTTTGTTTTTTGAGATGGAGTCTTGCTCTGTTGCCCAGGCTGGAGTGCAGTGGCGTGATTTTGGCTCACTGCAACCTCTGCCTCCCAGGTTCAAGCAATTCTCCTGCCTCAGCCTCCCGAGTAGCTGGGATTACAGGCACACACCACCATGCCTGGCTAATTTTTTGTATTTTTAGTAGAGACAGGGTTTCAACATGTTGGCCAGGCTGGTCTCGAATTCCTGACCTCGTGATCTGCCTGCGTTGGCCTCCCAAAGTGCTGGGATTACAGGCATAAGCCACTGTCCCTGGCCTGTTTTTCTTTCTAATGGCCTTATAAAATTTGGTTTCTCTTTATATTCTAAGTAGAAAACTAAGGCATATAGAAGCTTGCTTAATATCCCAAAGATACTAACTTTAGCTAGAATTTCTTATATATTCCATTAAAATTGTTTTCTTCTAATAAAAATTGGATCTGTCTTTAACAAACCTTCTGTAGTATTTATGGGCATTGAAACCTCATGTGTGGTTTAAGGGTTATTCCTGAAGTCTCCAGATCATATACTCCCAAAGTTTTCCTGTGCTGCTTATTTTGAGGCTATTACCCTTGTAAATATTTCTTTCATACATGATTTGTAGTTGTTATGCATCTTAATACCTTATTATCAATTTTAAAATGTTGACATCATCAGACTATAAGCTATGTAAGCAGGAAGTTTAAAGTTCCCACAATCATTTCCATGCTGCATATTATCATAGCTAACTGTACATGCATTTGCTTACTATTAAAGTGAAAAACTTATTGCTGTATCTGATCATGCAAATAAATATAGATCACAGCACTGTTTGTAATGGTTGCACAGTATGCCTTTTTAGGGACATTCATTCTATTTTTCGCAGGACATTTAAGTGGGTTCTTTTAACTTTACTATTGGCCAGTTTGTCTTATTTCTTTCCTGGAATTTGAATTTGGAGGAAAAAGTATGTACATTCAATTAACAGCCAAAAATATTCAGTGTAATTCCTATGTACTAGAAATTCTGCTAAGTGCTTTAGTCAGATTATGTTATTAATCCCTACCAGAGCCCTATGATAATAGGTACTCTTGGTATGTCCAGTTTATAGATGAGGAAACATTAATCTTATCACAACTGGCTAATCAGTAGTGTGGTCTGACTTTATAGCTTGTGCTAGTAATCATTCTACATTTGATATATATTATTAAACTAACCTCCAGAAAGACTGTCCCTTTTAACACTTTGATTAGCAGTGTAAGAGAGTTCCTATTTCCCTACAATCATGCCCATTTAAAGGGATGTGCCTTCTGATTTACCTGTTTCTTTTAAAATAAGTAAATAAATCCTGATCCATTTTACTATGGATGAATAAAAAGATACCAACCAAGATATGCCACTTCTTTCCAGCACAGGCCCATTTCTTTTCTCCATTCATCTACAACTGCTAGCTTGTCTGATACACTGACTTCCATTTTGCAATCCAGTTTTAAAGAAGAGAGCGTCTGCTTTGAACAGGACCTTTCTGAGATTAGCCTCACCTTAGAAAAAAGGATCGGAGGGAGAAGGGAAAAATCAGAAAGTGAAGAAAACAGGAATCTTTCATAATAATTAACCTTGTAGATAATCCAAATCACAAATGAGTCATCTTTTAACCTTCTGAAGGCCTAAGAAAACTGATTCTCATTTTAAAATAAAATTAAAGCTTATTTCTAATAGCCCAATCAAGGTGAGACAGTATTTTATTTTCTACAATAGAAAGAATTCTATCTACAGGTAAAAAAAATACAACATATATTGTCTGATACTAATCTAAGATTCTCCTATAGTTCAATTTATCCAGAGGAAAGTCTATAACCTCTCTTGTGTTGCTTAGCAACACATATTTAGGATTTTTAGTGTATTATAATTATCTTAGCCTTCATTGAAAAAATATACTTAAACATTATTTTGAATCAAAAATGTCATTCACAAGAATAAGCTAGATTTTAAAAATCCACAAGATATTTTCTTTTTTTAAAATGGCATACGTATTATCTAGGGAATCTCTTTTGTTGCAAGATCCTATGGGAAATACTAGATAGCTCCCGTTTAAAAAGTATTATGTTTATAGTTACTGAATAAACAAGAAATACTATTTGCTGCTTAACAAATTCCTAATCCAACTCTTCTAAAAGAAGAGTAAAAATAAATGGTATAATAATTTTCTAGGCATATGAAGGTCAAATTTCAGGTATTTTAATAGTTAATATTAAAAATTTAAATCTCTTAATTCCTTGCATGTTCTTCCACCCTGAATCAAAATATTATAAAATACTGCTATATTCAGGGAGCACATACCTCAATACCACTTTTCTTTAATAAATTTATCCCAATAGCATCTTTTACATCATAAGATATTATTTCTTTTTGGTCTCCTGATACATAAATGTGGCCATTGGTGAGACATCCATCAATATTGCAAACCAAAAGTTTTATTTCCTTAAGCTTCTCTTTGCCAAAATAGCCATATCTAAAAGAAACCAAAATAGACCTTTGAGTACAAGTGCAATACTAATCACTCCCTCTCATCTGGCTAAATCAATGAATTAAATGTCACCCTCCATTCAATTATTCAAACATTACTCTTCAAATTTACTTCACATATATATTTCAACTTATAGTGCAATAACTAAAAATTGTATGGTCTAACCAGATAATGTTTCTCAGTTTATTGAATAAGCCATGTAAACACATATTTTACATACATCTTCCTTACATGAACAAAGTAATTACAAAGATCCTATGATGTTTGAGGTTTCAGAAATCAGTATCAAGAAGTATAATTATGAGGACTTACTAGAAAGGCTATACAGATTTGTTTGTTTTTACCTTAATACTCTTTGCTCTGCAATAGGCCAATCAATATCCACATCTATATCCACACTATGCTCAGCTCGCATTTCGTAGTATGCCATTTTTCCACCCTGAAGATAGAACAAATGTCATGAATACAGTTTTTAATATTCACTCACATATAACAGAACTTTAATACAGAACAATGAATTCATTTCTGCAGTACTGAGAAAAACGAGTAACTCAGTAAAATAAGTCACATAAAAATGATTTTTTAATTTATTTTTATTTTTTTGGGACAGGGGTTTCAGTCTGCCACCCAGGCTGGAGTGCAATGGCACAATCACAGCTCATTATAAACTTGAAATCTTGGGCTCAAGTAATCCTCCAACTTCAGCCTCCTAAAGGAGTTGGTACTACAGGTATAAAACACCATCCCTGGCTAAATTTTTAAAAAGTTTTTGTAGATATAAGATCTCTCTACGTTGCCAGGGCTGGTCTTGGAAACCTGGCCTCAAGCTGGCCTCTCAAAGTGCTGAGATGACACCCATGAGCCACCACGCCCAGCTTGATTTTTTTTTTTAAGGAGAAAGCTCACACAAAACAAATAACCTTAACATTTTTCAAATTCTATCTAGTTCAAGTTCTCTATTTTTTTAAAAAAATTAATTTCTATTTTAATATTGAAAAAGCAGAAATGTTACCTCTTCCAGGATTCTGACAACGGGGATTTTGTGGAAATCCCTTAGTTGTATCCTCTTTTTTTTAAGGAAGTCTCTCCTGTCATCATCCAAAAACAGTATAAAGGTTTTTGGAATTTCTGTTCTAATTTGCAACTAACAGGCAACACAGGGGAGGAAATATAACTGTAGTGTCTGTTGTCCACAGTTTTCTTAGATCCCTGAGCTACAGATGAAAATGGCTAATAGTCATCTAAGATATATGTGGACAAAGGCAAGGGCAGTCTCTTGATTCTAGGGCAAGGTGGCAAGAGAAGGGGCCTTTCTTCTGATAGTAATTATTTGAATGACCAGATCAATTACTGGACAATTTCATTTTTTTTTTCCAAATTGTTAGTCTCTTCATAAATCTTGTTTTAATGAGAAACATTTTTCTCCACACTTTAGGAATGGGTTACACCATGGTCCTCCTTAGAAAAGAGCTTAAAAATGTTAGTATCTATGTACATCAAATCTATTTTTTCTGAACACCTAAATTTAACTAAACAGCCAGTCTATAGTTTGCCTATACACTGACCAGATGATCTGTAAAAATGTTTTTCTCTTTTGCTCAGAATAAGAGTCACATTGGAATTTTTATTACACAATGGAGAGGTTTCTCTCGCTCTTTTTAAAAATGCTATTTCTTGAGTAAAATAAGAACCTGAATATAAATCCTGACAGTACCATTTACTAGCTGTTTTTGCCTTGAATCAATTACTTCATTTTCCAGAGATGCAGTTTTCCTCCTCTGTAAAACTGGGTAGAAATGTCCACTTCATTCAGCTGCTATGTAGATTACACAAGATAACATACACAGTGTTTCACATACTCCACAGTACACAGTAAGTAATAAATAATAACTAAAATTAACAAGTTAAGAAATACGTAATGCAACCATGTTGCAGGCTCTAAAATGAAAGACATTAAATCCCTTATTTGAAAATGAGAGAAATGAGAGTCAGGACAGATAAAATGACACTTATTCAAGGTTACATAATAAAAGAGTTAGAATTAGAAGCCCGGTTTCCTGAAGGCCAGGCTGTTACTCTTTTCACCTCTGTGACATTGTTTGTCTTTTTAAAGCAATAGAAGTTATTCAACCCTACAGCCGCAACATAACTATAACACAAACATGGATTACATAGTTTTGAATAAAATAATAGAGTACCAGGACATGTGTAAACATGCAGCACTTGATTCATTTTTTATCACTGTAGCAAAATTCCTTGCATATTTACTGAATGGATTCCAACGATCACTTTGGGGTAAACCTGCAGGATAAATGCCTCAGATGACAAATCTTGTCAGCTATTACCTTTCCTCTGTAGATTGATACTTTACTTTACCATAGAGAAATTGTACCATACTTCTTCCCTAGAACTCAAAGCATGCACACAAAAGAGCTTAAAAGGTTAATGCAGAATGAAGGTACAAACCTGTAAGTAACCCATCTCTATCAAATGTCTTTTAGCAAAATAAAATGAGCCATTTTCATATAATTCTCCATCCCAGTCTTGTCGACGAGGCCGTTTAGCTGGATTTAAATTCAGCGGTTCGGTCACTTCACGAACTAAAAGCAAAAAGTTAGAATAAGTCCATGTTGCTCTGAAGAAAGTGTTAATTTAGTAACCTTAAAAAAGTTAATAAAAATGAACTCAGAATGCAGGGCATTTCTCTATCTAGGTAAATTTTTTTTTTCAGACTGAGTATCACTCTGTCACCCAAGCTGGAGTGCAGTAGCACGATCTCGGCTCACTGTAACCTCTGTCTCCCAGGTTCAAGCGATTCTCCTGCTTCAGCCTTCCGAGTAACTGGGACTACAGGCGCAGGCCACCATGCCTGGCTAATTTTGTATTTTCAGTAGAGACAGGGTTTTACCATATTGGCCGGGCTGATCTCAAACTCCTGACCTTGTGATCTGCCCTCCTCAGCCTCCCAAAGTGCTGGGATTACAGATGTGAGCCACTGAGCCTGGTCTGATAAAGAACTTTTTTCTCACACCTTAAATTCGCTTTAAAGTAGTTTTAAAATACCTATATTCAAATTTGAGCCCTTTAATCTATTTCTCATTCTTTGCATATATAGAAATATGTTATTTATCTGATAAGGTTGAGAACTTGTTTTTCTAGAATTATTACTGAAAATTAAATATTTCTCCATTAAATCATTGAAGATTTTATATTGATGAAAATGTATATGTAACATATTATAGATTCCTATCATTAAAAACATACTAAACATAATAATAAATTATGTTTATGAGTACACATGATAATAAAGGCTCAGTAATGCCAATATTAATGAATAGAACATAGTATAATCAGTGAAGCCTTTGGTATTGCCAAATAGAGATTTCTTTGCCTTTTCACTGAGTTTTCCTCAAATCTGTGTGTGTGTGTGCGTGTGTGTGTGTGTGTGTGTGTGTGTTTGTGTCTGTAACAGCTAGTTATTCTCCAGAATCTTTCTTCGCTTTTTGCTGTCATTTCTGTATGTATAAAGGCTTCTAGGAATAACCTCTACTTACTTGTTTAACTAAACCATCCCCTGTTCAATTCCACCCCAGTGTTTGAAATAACCCAGGAAAAAACCTTAGCGAATACAAATCAAATAGCTAGAGATAACATAGCTCTATAGACCATGGCTACAGAGTAGGGACCAGAACTCTCTTTACTCTCATGAGTGTACAGTCTAGGGTGGAGATAGGTAATAAACCAACTAGATAATTCACTTTGGAGAAAAGGAAAGAGAGGGACAAGTCTTTCCTAGTATCAGTGGCTGCTGTCTTCCTGGGCATATCTGCTGAGTATGAGGAGAAGGTGAAAGAGAGATCAAGCTTTGCATAATCAGAGGGACTCTGCTGAGGTAGGCAAAAACTACATGGGGTTTTAATGGCCTTGTGGACTTCAGTTACAGATTCTCATCTGTAGGAACTACAAACATACAGCTAGTTCTTCCCACCTAATGCTTCCTTCTATAATACTTAGGCTGAGTGTACTGTATGGGAAGCGGGGAATGGGCTGGAAAGCAGGGAGAGATCATTATAGAATTGTGGTCTGCAGATCCCTTAAAGTCTTGTTAGCAAGAGTAGGGGATGGATTTGAGTGTCGGCAACACATACACGATATATCTCCTGATAAGACACCTATACTAAGAGGTGAGATGAAATTAAAGTTTCAACCCAGCCCAACTCCTAATTGGATCAAAGTGATCAGCCCCTTATCCTATCTGCCTGATAGAAGAAAGGTTATACCCCTTCTGGAGGAAAATATGTACTCTAGTGTCTATGCCAGATATACAATTAAACATGAGCCAAATGAAGAGGCAGAAATATGTGACTCACAATCAAGAGAGAAGTAGTCATAGCACAGAACTGTAAGTGACTAGATATTGAAATTTGCAATCAAGGACTTTTGAACAGCTATCAAAAATATGTTAAATTAGAAGAAAAGACTTTTTAAAATGGATTAAAAAATGGAGAATTTCAACAGAAAATGGAATCCTTAAGAAACAACTCAAATGCACACTGCTGAATGGAAAATCACAGTCAGATTTACAGCACACTGGACATGTCAGGCAAAATGCCTAGTAAACCCTATGGAACCCTTCTTATATATGGAGTTACAAATCTGGGGTAGAACTTCAAAATGTCATTCTTGAGATCCTTCGGAACACTTGGGTAGATGCTATTTCCATATAATTTGTATGTTGTTCATCAAACATGTCTAGAACAAACATAAATGTATTCGACCTAGAAAAATGGCATGTCTGCCTCAAAAGGCAAATAGAAATAAGAGGATTAGAATGTCCCTCTGTAAAGAGTAAAGCAAAGAAATAATTTGGTCTAGCTGTGTTGGCTCAATAACAGATTTTGAACTGACTGTAAATGTCATTACCTACTAAAGTAATGAATCAAACATTCTCTTTTATAGCTCCCTTTTTGCTCTCCTCATGCCTAAAGAGTATTTATATACAACGAAAGTTGATTCTCAATAAAATAATCTAAAATAAAGACCGATAAGACATTACCTCCTTTCTGAATTTCACTCCATCGAAACTGATGGCGTCTCACAACAGAGAAAACAGAATCATATCCTTCTTCTCGAATCATTTCTGCAACTTTCTGAAGATCAGTAGGATGTAAACATGGAGAAGTAGCTTGAATATTTCCTACAATGTCAACCTCTTAAAAAGACAAGAGAAATGAAAAGGATATTTAAAAAAAAGTTCCTTGCAAGCAAGTAATATTAAGGTTTGGAATTCAAATGTTAAAACAAGTCTCACAAGATGATAAAGGAAGTAGAAAAGTACATAAAAGTTTGAATAAACTCATACCATTATGATAATTAAGAAATTCTATGATGGCATCTAGTGAGGTAGAGCTGTCTTTTGAAACTTCAGAACTTCTTCGATGAACTTGTGCACCAAACTGTTTGGCCACATTCTCAATTTCATCGTGGTCTGTCGAAACCCATACACTGTTCAGATATTAAAAAACAAATGAAACAGCCAAATCAAAACAAATCATTAACAATTAAATGGAGCTCTGTAACCATAAAATACAGCTTATGTAATGTGAGAATTGTTTTTGGACAATGATAATAATGTTAAAGATCCAAAGGAGTATAAAATGTAAGAAATTATAAAGTATTTTGTGTATAAATATATTAATAAATAAAAATCCAGTCCTAGAAGTTCTTTATTTTTTTTTTGAGATGAAGTTTCGCTCTTGTTGCCCAGGCTGGAGTGCAATGGCGCGATCTCGGCTCACCACCACCACCACTGCCTCCTGTGTTCAAGCAATTCTTGTGCCTCAACCTCCCGAGTAGCTGGGATTACAGGCATGCACCACATACCCAGCTAGTTTTTGTATTATTAGTAGAGATGGGGGTTTCTCCATGTTGATTAGGCTGGTCTCGAACTCCCGACCTCAGGTGATCTGCCCGCCTTGGCCTCCCCAGAGTGTTGGGATTACAAGCATGAGCCACCTTGCCCGGGTCAGAGATACTTCATAAAACGAAACAACCAACAGACACTGGGGCCTACTTGAAGGTGGAGGGTGGAAGGAGGGTGAGGATCAAAAACCTACCTATCAGGTACTATGCTTATTACCTGGATGACAAAATAATCTGTACACCAAACCCCTGCAACATGGAATTTACCTCTGTAACAAACCTGCCATATACCCCTGAATGTAAATTAAATGATTTTTAAAAAGCACGAGAAGTCAAAGCTAAAGAAAATTTAAAATCTTGCTTACTCTCCATCCAAGTCCAAAATATTGTATAAAATATTTTAATATACTTGCTAAAAAAAAAAATGGACCTGGCTTAGTCAAACCCTAAAGATAAAACAGTTTCAAGCTTAGAAGAGAATAAATGCCCAAGTCTGGGCTCAAAAAACAATTGGATAATACAACTCTTTTTTAAACAAACAATGGATATATATATATAGAATCAGCTGGGTTATAGCCATTGATAACAAGAAACATGGAGAATGTGACTTCATTGGCTCAAGAAAATTTAGCTTAATATTCAAATGCAGGTTACACAGTTGCCTATTTAGACTTTATAAAATGATGACGAGACAAAATGCTATTTTGGGGAGGTATACCAGTTTCTATTGAAGTTTTGTTTCCTGGACAGTCACAAATTCCTGTAGAAGCAGAAGATGTGAACACTACTCTAGCCACAATGTTTGGTCGGGCCTGGAGGCTCACACCTGTAATCCCAATACTTTGGGGAGCTGAGGTGGGTAGATCACCTGAGGTCACAAGTTCGAGACCAGCCTGGCCAACAAGGTGAAACCCCCTCTCTACTAAAAATAGAAAAATTAGCTGGGCATGGTGGTGCATGCCTGTAATCCCAACTACTAGGGAGACTGAGGCAGGAGGATCACTTGAACCTGGAAGGCAGAGGTTGCAGTGAGCTGACATTACGCCACTGCACTCCAGCCTGAGAGACACAGCGAGACCCTGTCTCAAAAAAAAAGACAAAAACCAAAAAAACCCCACAATGTTTTAGTAGTGATTTATTCAAAGGTATCTTAATGACTTACAGTCTTTGGGGTGTGTGTGTGTGTGTGTGTGTGTGTGTGTGTGTATACATATAAAATGTGTGTGTATATATATGTATATACATATAAAATGTGTGTGTATATATATGTATATACACATACACACACACACACATATATATATATATATATTTCCTTTTATCCCACTCTTTCGATATCTACTGAGGGAAAGATGAACTGTATGTTTTGTTTGTTTTTCTGACAGTCTTGCTCTGTCACTCAGGCTGGAGTGCAGTGGTGCAGTATCTGCTCACTGCAACCACCACCTCCTGGGTTCAAGCAATTCTTGTATCTCAGCCTTCCGGGTAGCTGTGATTACAGGCATATGCCACCACACCTGATTAATTTTTTGTATTTT